TTCCGAATCTACAGCACCGCAGCAGGAACAGGACCGGTCGTTTGACGACTCTCTACTGCAGCCCGGGTCTGATGCTTCAATGTCGCAAGCTAGCCAGGAATACAGCCGAGAACACAGTGAGGAGCGCGCTTCGGCCGACGCAGGGCAGACGCCAGGGCAGGCTCTGAAAACCTCCCAACGCCCCAAATACCTGCGGAGCCGAATAGGGAGCCAGCGCTCCTCCGTCTCGTCCCTCCACACGGATCCGGATAGTGACACGACCGTAGGAATGGGCGCCGACTATGCTCTCCAGTCGGGCGGCGCTGTGCCCAGCGTGGGAATGCCGCGGAGTTTTAGCAATGCCTTGTCCAGGTCCATCAGTATGGGAAGCATGGCCAGTGGTATTGAGAACCTCCACGACTCGTCCGGTCCGGCTTTTGGCCACCTTGAGACCCTAGACGAGGTCGACGTGAGCATGTCGCCCCAGCCAGAGCCACGGCGCGATCAGAACCGAGGCCTGCTCCAAACTCCGGAAACCAACCAAGAACTGCAGCCCTTGCCGCGCCCGACAGACACGGTTATTGCCCGTCACGTCCGCGATGTCCAAGTCCCAGAATCACTGGCCAAGGAGTATAAGAACCGGGGAGGACTGCTGACCCCAGCGCGCCCGGGGACGTCCGAAACGGCCGCGTTCGGAACCTCCACTGCAAGCCGCCATGGCAGGAGCCTGACCCTCAAAGAGCAGAGCAGTACCATTGAGCGCCTGAGCAAGGAGAACTTTGACCTCAAGCTCAAGGTCATGTTCTTGAGCGATCGACTCGACAAGCTCTCCGAAGAGGGTATTAAGGAGATGATCTCGGAGAACGTGGAGCTCAAGACCGGTCTAGCCGTGCTACAACGCGACAACAAGGTCCTGCGCCGCCGCGTCAAGGAGCTCGAAAAACAAGCCAAGGACGAGGAGAACCGCCCAGGGACAGCTAAGAGCACCCAGTCCGACGACGAGCAGAGCGCTGCATACGACCAAGAAACTCAAGAACGCGAGGAGGAGCTCATTTATCTCAGGGAACAACTAGAGGAGCATATTACCGAGATCGAGCGGCTTCGGAACGAAAACTTGAACAGGGAGGCTGAAAAACGCCGCATGGCCGACGTGGTGCGGACGCTGGGGGAAAGGACGGGAGAGCGGCTCGGCGAAGACTTCGAGCGCCAGGAGGAAGCCGACGTCTGGAAGGACTTGCTCGAGCAAGAGACGGCTAGGAGAGAGCAAAGCGACGAAGACAACCGCCGCCTACGTGACGAGATCTTCCAGATGAAGCAGGAGCTTGCGGCCCAGTCGGGTTCCGGATCGATGCATCCGATGCATCACACCACAAATATTTACAATATTACGAAGAAGTCTCGTGAGCGGGCCCTATCGGCCGCTCGGTCAGGCGCATCAGTATCCGGGATTATGGACGCCAACGGGCCCATGAGTGTTGGCAGCACGTTGGTTGACGAAATCCGGCGGGAGAGCGAACAGCTCCGCCACGAGAATGCCGAGCTCCGTCGTGAAGTCGGTGCTCAGACCTCAATGCTTACGTCGAGAAACCGAGAGAAGGACCGGCTGTACCAGGAGATCGAGGATCTCAAGATGGCCCAGCGACGTGGCGGGCCCGCCCCATCTACAATCGACAGTCTACTAGAGCGGTCTGCATCACGGGCTGGAGTCCACGAGCGGTCACACTCTCGGGCAAGTGGCGGCACGCGAGCCACCAACACGGCTATCGATGACGCAGACGTGGAGGAGCTCGAGAACAGGATGGCGGATTTGCGGGATAAAAACAACGACCTCAAATTGCAGAACCAGGACCTGCAACGAGAGCTCGATGGCTGCATGGAGGACTTCGAGGCGGCCGTCGAGGCGAAGAAACAGGCCGAGGAACTGGTGGCAGCACTGCAAGAAGATCTGGAGACGGCCATGAACGACTTGATGGCGTTGCAGGCTGAACGGGACGAAGCCCTACAGGAACACTCTAACCTTGAGAATGAGTTCGAGGCCTTAAGGAAAGAAGCGCAGGAAGAAATTGACGCGCTCGAGGGCGAAGCGGACCAACGTACAGCCGAGATTGAGCGGCTGCAACTCGACCTCAACGACCGCACCGAAAGCTTCGACTCCCTGCAAGCCGAAATGCGCAAGATGAGCGAGGGGCTCGTCAGGCTCGAGGACGAACAGGAGGCCAAGCTGCGCAGGGTGCAACAACTCGAACAAGAGCTTGGCGACGCCAACAAAGACCTCGAAGATCTGGAGGCGAAACTCATCGAGGCCAACGACAAAGCCAACCGCCTATCGGTCCAGCAGGAGTCCAGTCAGGGCGAGATCGCGTTCCTGCGCGAAGAACAAGAAACTGACAAGATCCGTATCGGCGACCTGGAGGCTGCGTTCGCTAATGCCGAGCAGTCTCTGCGGGAGGAGAAGGAGCGCGCGAGGGAACTCGAGCAGAGGCTCGCGGCGGAACGGCGGCAGCGCGAGATCGTGGCCAACCGCGAGAAGGAGGAGGTGCAGCAGTTTGTGAACGAACTGAATAAGGAGACATCCACGGCCAAGGACGAGGTGAGGCGGCTCCGGAAGAGTCTGTCTAGCAGGGAGGTGGAGGCGACCGAATGGAAGGAGAGACTTATCGAGCTCGAGAATAACCTGCGTGAGGCACTCGGTGACTTGAGCGGGACCAGGTCG